ACAATGTTATATCTCAGATTGGAAGGTTTAAAAATCTCTGATGCATTGATTAGTATGATTTTACGCTCGTGTCCAGATATATGTATTCTTATTCTTGACAAAAGTAAGAGTTTCACTAATATATCAATTATAGAAATTGCAAGATATTGCCCAAAGCTATTACACCTGAGTCTTAATTCATGTATATGTCTCACTAATTGATGTATCACTAAAATATCACATTCTTGTCCAAAACTTAAACATCTTGAGTTTGGTGATTGTTCGATTAGTAATAAAGCTCTTGAGGAAATAGCCCACAACTGTAATAATTTGAAATATCTTAGTTTGGAGGGATGTAAAGGGATTAGCGAAGAAGTGATAAAGAAACTTAATTCAAAAATTAAAATTAAATATCCAGTTTATTCTGATGATGAATTCTCAGATTCTGATCTATCTTCACTTATTTCAGATTATTCCAATGATGAATTCTCCATTTCTGATTTACCTCCACTTATTTCAATCTTTACTGGTCGACGAAATGGGATAGCTATAACCAGGGCCTTTAGAGATTACTATTTGAGTCATATATCAGATAAAACAGATCTTATTTCTGCAATTATTAATCATCTCAGAGAGAATCCTTCAACGTGAGTTACAAATAATTTTATTTAGCAGTGGAAAATGGTTAATTATTTACCAGATTATTTTTTTATGGTAATATACATTATTAAATATACTTAACATATTCGTTAATACTATTGTCAAAGGAAAAATCCTAGTAAAAGTATTAATTGATACATCATCGAAGTTTAATACCATTAGCAAGAGGCTGTTCATTAAACTTAAATCGAACTATGGAATACGTCCTAGCTGTGGTCCTACAGAATGTCTCTATAGAGATATAATAGATGAGATAAATTGCTTAGATTTACAGTTTCACTATAAAGAAAAATGGTAAAGTTTAGATTATACTGATGTAATATACTTCAAAATTCGCAAGAATCCAACATTTGATCTGGTATTGGGTTGAGGGTGGTTGTGGGTACATGAAGTTAAAATGAACTTTAAATTATCTTCTAAAGGAAGCCATGATCCTCATGCTAAAATCAAGATAGATGGTATGAGTATCCCATTAATCGATAAAGATTTTAACAAAGCCAGCTCTACTAAAAATAACTTATCTATTGCAAAGCAGACCGTATTGTGGAACAATAACACTTGCGTGCCTAGATGATTCTCTGAGTCATGGGACTTTATTTCTAAATTAACAGAATCTAAGCCTGGTCTAGCTCAAGAGGAGGTTATAAATATAATTAACAAAGTTCTCTCAAATATCGAAGATAGTCTTGAAGGGGAATCGGAGATGAGTCTTTGACTTGAAGCTAAGCTTTCTCGATACTTTGCATCATCATTATTTTGTAATAATAAGCAACGAAAGAAACATCATGGAATATTTCACAACAAATCTGAGACAGAGACTGATTTATCCAGCTCCGATTCAAAATCCACGAATTCAGACTGGTATGATTTCGACCCAATAAAATCCCAAAAGAATCATGTTCATTTTAAAAAGAAAAAGGTTGTTTCTCCTATCCAAAAATATCGTAAAAATAAGCATACTAACTGTGTCCGCATTCCAGAGTAATGATCTATCTAATCAACTATAATAACTGATACGAGTGGAAGGTCTTTAAATCATTCTTTGATATGGGCTAAAACCTTTCTAGATAATATTTTCGATGGAGGTATCTCAATCAATACTTTCTCAGCACTTTTTTCAGTACATATATATATCCACATTATATGTATTAATTTTTTGTCCTTATAGTTATGTCCGTGATAAAGTAAAAATCAATATTCATTCATTACAATATCAATCATCTCCTCCTGATCTGCTATTAATTCTCAAAAAAGCTGTTTATCTTCATTCGTAATTGGAAGACAGATTTCTTCAGGACTGAAACCAATATACTTGAAAATCTGATCACGTAATTCATAAGATATTTTTTGTTACTATGATACATAATAAAAATATATTTAATTTATTTTGCTATTTCACGTTACAATATATCACCGATCTCCCATTATTCATCCATCCAATCAGAATAATTAAAAACCATTAATAGTTGGAAATTTATCAACCAATCACATTACAGGTAGGATCGACATAGAAGTATTTCGAAGAAATAACACTCCGTATCTCATGGAACATGTCAAATAAAAAGTCCGTGATCTCATATTTATCCTACATGCTTATTGCTCTACGCTTTCACTGTTACTATTTGGATTGAATTTTGATAGGCCTCACAGCATTGCAGATAATAAGTTCTTGTATTGACATAATCACCACTACCCCATCTACCTTCTATATTATCTCTTATATTTTCTTTTTTATGATCTTTATTGCATATAGGGCAGGATACTGAACTATTAAAATCGAAATAATCATGATTTTTATGACTCTTTAGGATCGCTCCTTCGGGTCTGCTATACTTTGAAGATAAATAAGGGAACTGCTCTAGCACTTTATTAATAATGAATTTTCGCTTTTCTTCTGGATTATCAGGTAAAATAGAGATAGGAGGTCAAGATACAGGTGGTTTAATAACATCAGTTTTTGTATCTGAAGGCAATACATTTATTCCAGTTTCTGATAATACTTTCTTGATTTTCAAATCGATAGAAATAGAAGATAGATTTATCTTAGTATCTGATATATCATTTGTGTTAGATAGATCCGACATATGTGCGTGATAATTTGTCATGCTGATCGCTTTTATTTTGGAAGAAATGGCATTCTGTGCCTGGCAATTCGTATCAATCAACTTGGAAAAATTATTCACAATACCTTGAATTTGAATATCCTTTAAACTTGAAATAGCACTTGCGCTATAAGTTACTTGACTAATTTTATCTATTCCTATTCCTTCGTATAATATATAGACTTTTTTTGCTCTGGAAGTTATTTTACACAAGTTGACATCAGTAATATCAGGAAGAAGTAATTTGATTTCATTATATACTAATATCCTTGCTGATTGGTCATCAATATTATTTACAGTTTTAACATCACTGACTCTATTCTCGTATGCTTTATAATAACAATACCAGCACAAACTTTCCTTTTGTCGAATCTTCATTGCTATCCTAAATAGATCAATGATATTTTGTGACGTAATGCTATTAGATCCTGATAAAATCACTTCTAAAGAGAATTCAGAGATTTGAATATCAGATACTTTACTAATCTTGTGGTTATTATCTTTGATGCAACTAGATAGCTCAAGTCTTAAATCTTGTTCTACTTTTTGATTATAAGGAATTTTTGCGAAGCAAAGTACTTCGTGCCTCTGATTAGATGATATATTAGTGGATGATTTAGACTCAGAATCACATGGTAAATTATTATCCAAAGATAACTTAGAATTATTAGAGATAGATTGTGATATTATAGATGATTCCAGATTTTGATTTTCGTAGGATGATTCTGATGAAGTACTATCCAAAGATGAATTTTGATCTTAAAATTTCTTTTCCCTAATTCTCTCCATTATCGCTTTACTAACATATTCTTTATATTTCATTTCTACAGAATTAAGAATCTCATCCGTATCATCATCGATAATATTTTGTGACAAAAAGGTTGTAAATGATTCAGTTTTTTGGATCTGGGTTGAGCTATGTTCTATTCCGGTTATAGGGTCAGGAGTAATAGCTTTCTTCTTATCGGGTTGACTCTCATTAGGTGGTGAAATTTCTTTTGTGGGAATATCATCAGAATTTGAAGTATTATCAGATATATCTAATGCCAAAATATCTCCAGTTTGTATGTCTATTTGTTCAGGGGTAATGCTAGAATTTTCCATTTCGGTAGAAACACTTACTATCTTTTTCTCGGAAATTGACAATTACTCCAGAGAATCAGTAATCATTCTCTTTGATTTTATTTCCTCGAAATCATAGCTTAATTTTGCTACTTTGATTTTAAGCTCAGAATTTTCAGCTGAGAGATAGGTGATATCTTTTTTATTATTTTCTAGTTCCATCTTAAGGTTAATGTTCTCAGCTTCACGTTTAGCATTTTCTTCAATAATTTGTTTTAGCTTCGCATTCTCAGCCTCAAGATTAATAATCTGTTGTTTCAATAAATCAAACTCAGATTGCATTTTAGTAATTTTTTATATAAAACAGATTTATTTAATTTTTAATTAGAATTTCCGTTCCAATTTTGAATGCAGATCACTTTCGCTAAGAAAGTTATTCTGGAAAAATTATTGATTATACATATATGATGTATGAAAAAATTACTAGTGCGTGACCATTTGTCATGCTGATCACTTTTGCCAAGAAAAAATAATTATAATCTCATATCGCAGGAAGCGTGGGAAATAATTGATAAATGAAATATATCAGACGATCACTCAATCAAGATGAGGCAATTGATAATGTGTTATTCTATATCTGGGATAATCATTACATAATCTATTTTGGGTATATTACAAACATCATGCATTTAATTTTCAGCATGCGACGAGACTTGACACTTAATCATATGTCTGATAAATAATGCGTAACGATTATCTAAAAAATTTAACCGGAGGCTGGCGAATGCTTAATCATATATATTACACAAAGTATATAATAATCCAGCCATCAGGGCCATCTTTATTGAGATAAATACAAGATATAAAAAGTACATATAATGAAGTCTAGTTATCATCTCGTGGAGTGGAAACTGTAGTACTATCTTCCATTTGCCTTTGCGATGTGGCAGTAGGTGCGTGATATAGTAAAGATAAATTAGTAATTATTATATTACGTAAAAGTAACAAAGTTTCTATAAATTTAGTTACAACGGCTTCATCCGAAAATTATACAGGAATCTCAGCAAATTATAAATGGTAATATTAGTGAACATTAACCATATCTCGTACTAGAAGATTCAAATGCAATACATTACCTGCTACTTGCATACCTACAATACCAAACTGATTCTTATCCAGTTTAAGACTTTGGCGTATCTAATATAGTCCGTTATTAGTTTCTCGCCATAACTTAATCTCATCGTTGGTCTTTTTTTGTAAACTAGAAATTAAATGAGAACATTCTACGTACATGAGTTCAAAAACCATCTCCAAGTATTTCACTACAAGCATAATATCTGGATATCTTCTCATGTAACCTTCTCCCTTTCTATTAGCACTTGCAATACTTTGCTTTTCCGATATGCTAATAAAAAAAGTGTCTCTGATGGGGAGATTTTTCAATGAAGCTCGAATAACAGGTATAATGACAGTTGATTGGTATGTCCCCTCATTTAATGTCTTTGTGAGTTCAGGATCAAATGCTGAGTTATTCCAAATATCTTTCAAAATATTAAGAATTTCTTTGACCACGTATTTGATATCTTCTTTTGATTCTTTCCAAGCTCCATCATGTATTAATTTGGTTGATTTTATTTTGATTTCACGCCTCTTAAAATTTAGTACAAATTCTCTACATATTTCTTGAATCATTGGCATGGATGTGGGCATTATTTTACGAACAAGTTTTTAATGTAAATAATAAACATTATTAATAGTATTAATAAAGGTAACGTGATTAAATATACATATAATTCTTTACCGTAAACCCTTTTCTTAAATTTCCTGGTAAATCATTTATGAGCTTCAATTCATCGCTGATGACTTGACTAGCTATAGGATCTTTTCAAGACAACGCCTCAATAGACATTACTCTTATACCAGAATATAAATGTTGATATAGGGGGGTCATATCTCTTTTGAGTTTTCTTTGAAGCTCAATCATATTGTTTCTGATTTGGTCCGAGCTAAGAGGTTTTTCTTTATTTATTTTAACAACTCCAAGATCATACAATGTAGAGATCCCCTCAAAAGCATCTTCAAACTAAAAAATAAATATACATTAGTTTTCAGTAATAAAAAAAACTTATTATTAAAAAAATGTATATATTATCAGTACATATGCAAAGTTATCATTTTTGTGCAGCTGTCACGCCAATAAAACTCTGTGTGATACTAATTTTCTACATAATAATATAACCCTATTATCCTCTGTACAGGCGATAAATTTTTCTCATCAATAGGTTAGTAGGATAAACTACATTACTGCATAACAGTCTATAGCTTAGATATCCCTCCATTGTTGAGCAAGTGTTTATTAGAAGCAGGTTAATAGGATAATTGAGCTACTTTTCAGTACATGAATCTAATAGCCGACCACATAATATCATCATATAATGAAATGATTTTGTAAAAAAAAATCAATAGCTAACCTGTGAATGAATTCTAAAAAGCTTTCATTGATGCAAAGACCCATTTGGATACAAATTACTAAGATAACCAATGACTCAGTCTACAATTATCCTCAACTCATTTTGCGGAATCCAGGGGTTCTTTTCCAAGTCTTGGTGAACAACGGAGATGACATTTATATGACATTCTTCAGCATTTATCAAAAAATTATGAATTTTGGTTTGTAAATCAGCAGACATATTGATTAGTCGAGTTTGAAGTAATAAAAGCTTTGTTATATCGCAAGTAAAAATGACGAACAATTACAATATAAATATACTGCTCTTTTAAAACATTCCCTCTGCTCATTTCTGGTCTCATTTAGGTATGGGAATGGTAGATTTAGGGAATGTGGAACTGGAGCGATGCAAATGCATAATGAAAAAACTTTTCACAAAAAAAATATGTATGTCATGAGTTGGACAATCAGATTTGGAATTTGTGGCAACAATTAACGATTACATCATGCATGAAAAGTTTGATTTTATTCTGTGGTATAGTCTGCTATGTTACACAATCGATTTCAGGTCACACGATTACATTATGCATGTAGAAGTTTCATGATCTTCGATTTTATTCTGTGGTATAGTATGTGATGTATTGATCAAATATCTGTTGTGTTACGCAATCGATTTCAGGTTATATGAATATTACTTTGTAATGAACTTCACTCTATATCATGCATGAAAAGTTTCATGACCTTCCATTTTCTTCTGTGATATAACATGTAATGTGTTGATCGAACATCTGTGTTATGTAATTAATTTTTTCTAGACATTACATCCCGTAATTTTTTGATAAAAGTGATCGGCATAACAATTTGTCACGCATAACTTGAGAATTTTTAGCAAAACACAAATTTATATATCAGAGACACTAGCTCCGCTATTACTTTTTCAAACAAAGGGTCATTCTTTTCCTGATAATCAATTTTATGCGTGGTAATAAGAGGTATTTTCATTTAAGATCATTATTATGAGATATGCAAATCAGGAATTATCATAAGAGACTAAGCTAATTCACCACTGTTTTGTGAAATTAATGTTAATCTTTGCCCTGTCTTCTCGCAATTTTTGCTTGAAGCCAGATGATTGTACTATCTATATATGCAGGATAGTTATATAATCTTTTTTTGAATATATGAGAAAAAAGGTTGAAATCATCTATGATTTCCTATAAATATTGAGCGATTCTGAGTAAAAGTAATTAATGATCACCAAATCTAAAATTAGCTTTCATAATATCTGAAATTGGTTTTGTTAATCGTGATAAATGTGATATATGTGCTTATTGTAGAACAATGAGCTTCGCTCTGGCACTAAATCCGTTATAAAAAATGAGTTAAGTATACAGAAAATTTATATGTCAGAGACACTAGCTTCGCTATCTGGTTATACACTACGCTATGTCTGCTAATATCTCAACTCTCGAATCCCTTGCATTAAATATTCTAAAAAATTCATTCTCAGAAAAGATTGCAGGTGTGGATGTTCTGGAACTAGATCCATGCTCGTTATGCAACCAAGAACTTTTTTTGTATGAAATAAAAAACCTGATTACCATACTCATTTGCGGTTATATATATCATCACGATTGTATCGAAAATTCCATCAAAAAACATTCAATATGTCCAAGACCGAATTGCGAAAAGGAGATAAAAACTATGGTCAAGAGTATACCTGGAAGTCTATATATCACTGATCCAATGAATATATCTCCAGATTTTACAATATTTCAAGATACATCCCAGATAAAGCGTGTTGATGAAACTGTCAGTAAACTATCCAGTAAGAAAGTAAAGAAGCAAGTTTCAAAAGAAGATTCTCCTATATTAAAAAAACTTATTGAGGAATTGACATCAATGATACCTAAAAATTCTGAAAAAGCAATAGAAGTCAACGAAAACACTAATAATTTTTTGTATCATTATAGCAAAATTACGCAGACTGAATCTAAAAGTGAGATAGCAAGTAGGGAAGTTATTAAAAGTTATTTTAACTTTGGTGAAGCTATGAAAAAATATTTTGATCATTACAAGAATCTCAAATATGGGGAATGAGCTTGCTTGGCTCTTGTTAATGATGAAATCCAGAAACAACTCCCTGATAATATCACTAATGATGCATTGAAAAAAAGAAAAGAGAGAGCGGGAAAAATATATAATTTATTTGTTAGTATTGGTAAAGAGAAAATAAGAGGTATTAGATCATTTTCAGTGTCAAACATTTCAAACTTAAGTCAAGAAAATATTGATTATGTGATAGTTGAAGTTTTAAAAAAGGAAAATAGAATATAATTATTACTGCGTCACATTACTGCACCACATTACTGCACCAGTGATATCGATGTCACATCCAAATTCATACATTAATAAAGTTATTAAATAACCCAATTTTTTATAGATCCGAAGGGTCATAATTCGGAGAAGAGACAGAGTCTTGAATTTTCAATTTATCGTCTATGGTCTGCTTATTTTGGAGAAATGGCACTTTGTACCTGCAATAAGCTTTACCGCTATTTAACTCGTACGTCTATATGAAATGTGCATTGTCAAAATGAACTAACACCTATCAATTTATTAATTGTTGTCGGTTATCTGTTATCTAGCAGTTAATCTGTCTAATCGCACATAAAAAATAAATTAAAATTTTGATTGGCCTCATCATATATATCACTCGCAAAATATGACAAATATACACAACTTATTTAATAATCAATCTGCACTAAAAATGAATCATATATTCTTATACTATAAAGAACCAAATCTAATAGGTCAAAAACACTAAAACCGCTAAATATAATATTCTCTATAAGTGATAAATATATCTGGTTTTGATGTTATAACTATTCTTGATAAGAAAGATAGAACATTACCCAAACCTTTTAACATTCGTCCTGGATATGATATGAAATATGTCAGAAAATATATTGGAAATTATTTTGCTTTTGATGGTAAATAATATGATGAACTCTTCAATAATGAGAGATTATTTGATACATTATTTATCATAAAACAGAATAAAACACCGGTTCAATAGGCAATACGAGTAAGAATTCTATTACAAGATTTATTAACCGCTAGAAAATTTAGTGTATATCATCAATATTATTTATTTATGTTATTTGATAAAGGTAAATTTGTCAATTTCGATTACTACAGACCAAAGATTCATAAAAGTCATATAGCTATTTGTTTTGGTTGCTGGAAACTCATAAAAATCGATAATATGAATCCTAAAAAATTATTCCATTTTACTAGACAGAGGTATATTGATCATCTTGAACCTAAAGATCTGATGCAGAAATATTGAGATCATGAATATAATAAACCAAAGACTGATTTTGGAAAAGCAAGAATTATACAAATAGCTTATCGAAATTATAAGAATAGATCTGAATCATTAGCAACCCAAGCTTGGAATGCAATGAGAAATGATAATATTCCAGATGATAAGAAATTTCTAGATTTAACTAGTCGTAAAGTGAAAAATTCTCAAACTCGAGATCAATTCAATCAGTGGAAAGCTGAGAAAATTGCTATGTATAAAAAATATAATAGCCCACAAATGCTTAGTTTCTTTCATAATAGTAAATATGAAGAATATTACATTCCATACGATTGGATAGATAGAAAGAAAAACCAATTATGAGATAGATTTAGTAAGCATCTTCAACAATTAGAAATGTAATATATTAATACCTATCACATCTACTGTATTTATTTGATTTATCAACCCCATCTTCTCGTGACTCTATCACTCGAAGCCAGAAAAGTGGATGCAGAATGTGTTACAAACAGTAGATAGAGTGGAACTCATTATTATTACTTTGCAATAACCCTTTGGGTCTACATAATATGATATATATCTTTTTCCAAACATTTTTTTACTTTAATTTTTTTATATCAACCCATTTCCATCTGACACAAAAATCTCTAGTGTTAATAATAGATCGTGCTTGTTATTATTATTGCGAAGCAGACCCATAGGAGTGAGTTACACTCATGGCTCTTCGAGCTTACTCATTGGAAAGGTCAAGAGCTTGGTCCCATCCCTTGCGAAGATATAGAGGGTCTTCTTTTGCTCTAGTTAAGTCAATAACAATAAAATCTCTATCTTGCAAATTTTTATCAAGTATATTGACAATATTGTGTCATTTTTTTGTATATCATCGGGCAATGTTAACCAGCTCATCATATGTACCACTACCATTAAAGAGGA